CTTGCATACTGCCCTACATGTGCTAATTAGTTGAATGTGTTATGTTATTTTTCAAAATTTTTTATATTGTACATTCTCTTAAATTGTTCCCTGGAGAAAAGTAAAAGAAACTGAGTCATTGGGATCAATAAAAATGCATTCAAAACTCCTTTTTGCACATTTTTTTATTTTCTTAAGTTATAGAAATTCAAGTGGAGAGGGAAAACTCAAGTATTCACACATTTTGTGGTGAATGACAATATACAAGATGAAATTTGGTGTTTAAAATTCAATTAAGCTGCTTATATTGGGGATTTAGTGGAGACGGGTCATTTTGACCCGGAGGACAAAGGGTGTATACAGAAAATGAGGACAACAGGAGGGTTAAAATGCCTGTGACATGTATGTCCTTTAAAAACAAAAAGTCAAAGAAAACATCTTTTATTCAAAAAAAATAACATAGTATACACAATTTTACCCATTTTGTCACATAACTGGCATGTTTTTGTCTGAACTTGGCCAGCCACAAAGTGAAACAGGAAGTGACATCAAAGAGGAACTCTTAAAGAAAAGGAAATTTCTGGCCTTTGTTTATTGAAACATTTGAACTCTGACTCTTCTTCATCTCTCTGATAGTGACCTAAAATAATCTAAACAAACGTTAGATTCTTCTCTACTGCCCGTGTTGTCAGCCATTTACATGCAGACATTCCACTTTGACATCACTTCCTGTTACTTCACGTGTGAATATCTAAACAACTCTGCAAATTATTGGTGTGAATTTTCCCCCCCGAAACATTATCAATCTTATCTTTCCAAAAATACATTCATGTGTTTTGCAAAAAAAATTATGTCACGGGCCCTTTAAAGGTGTTTGGTGCTTGTGAGATATTTACTAACAAATGAGGTGTTTCACAGTGTGAGTGGTTGTGAAACTACCTGGGGACAAGAGGTGTGTGATAGGTGAAACCTGAGCCCAGCCCTTCTCATCAGTTTGTTTGTTTATTTGTTTATTATAGATGGATTCCTTCACTCTTGTAGACCATCTGTGTTTTAACTGTTTTCTAATATATATCACAGAACTATCTACCTTCTTATTAAACATCTTGATTTTATTATTTTTTAATTTTTTTGTATTATTTAATTTATTTAATTCGGACAACAATTAAAACAATACAAATAATTGTAATGTGTCAAAAACACACAACACAACATGGTCAAATGAAAAGGAGCAGAAAGAAGAAAAAAAATCTTGTAACATCTGCCCCCATTTAAAAATACAGTGTATATATACATGTATCTACAAAACATACAACATGCAGAAATTAAACTCAACTTTCACAGTATAACTGAAAATAATCAACAAAACAACATCACAACAGAAATATCAATTTCAACCAATACTTTGTTCATATCTCATTAAAAAAAAAAACATTAAGCTTTCTACCAAATGAATAAATTGTTCCAGCTTATTTAAGGTCATTGTCCAAGTTGTTCCACAGTTTAATTCCTCAAACAGAGGTGTATCTCTCCCTTAAATTTGTTTTAATTTTTGCTTTCACAAACATTTCAAGTCCCTTCAAATTATAAACACTATCCCTCTTAACAAAGTTGGATTGTATATTAGGTGGCAATACATTTTTATGAGCCTTTTACATAATCAACAGAATCCTATAATCTACCAATTCCCCAAATTTCAACACTTGTTTAAACAGAATATTTGTAGGGTGATAGTAGTGTTTTCTTGTTACGATTCTCACCGCACGTTTTTGCAAAATAAAAAGTGAATTTGTAAATGTTTTACACGCACTCCCCCAGAGCTCAACACAATAGGTCAAATGTGGCACAACTATAGCATTATGTAATATAAGTAATGCATTATTGTTAAATATGTCTTTGGCTTTATACAATACTGCAATTGATTTTGCAATTTTAGTTCTTAAGTAGTTAATATGGGGTCTCCATGTCAGATTTTCATCAATAATAACCCCCAAAAACCTCACTTCACTAACCCTAGAAATTCTAATGCCACCAATTTTAAATGAAACATCTACTTTTAATTTCCCTTTAGTAAATATCATAGTTGATCTTGTCTAAATTAAGTGATTTATTTAACATAAACCATTCTTGTGTTTTTACAAAATCTGATTGCATCGTTTGTAAACGTGATTTTACAATGTAGTCACTTTTTTTTTCTCTTCTTCAGAGAACCTGGAGCCCCACTCGGCCCCGCTGGAGATCGGGCACCCGGAGGTGGGTCGCTACTTCTCCGAGTTCACTGAAACCCACTACGTTGCCAACGAAGAGCTGCAGACACGATACCCAGAGGACATGGGGGAAACCCTGGGCACGGTGCGAGCGCTCTACGACAGAATGGCTCCGGCCCCCGGGAGCCAAGACGAGGGTCCCGCTGCAGACCAAAACAGCCACCGAGCCACGTCCATGTAGCGAGAAGTCCTGCCGAACCGGGTTGACCAAAAACAGATCCTCCCACCCGTTCTCTTCTCACAACCAACTTAGCTGTCCCTTTGGTGTACATGAAGACCAACAAGTATTAGAGGTTCTTTTTTTGTTTGTTTGAAAGAAGAAAAAGTTGCTGATTTCGCTTTATGCAGATCCCAATAACACGATGTAGTTGTTTTTCAAAAAAATAGTTCATTTGAATCATTCATGCTTGTTTTTAAAAACCCTGCCTCAGAGGTGAGTTTTGGGTAAAAACATTTAAAGCAACACAAAATAAAAGGAAAGATTAGAGGACGAGTAACCAGGTGCTGTAAAAATCCCTCCTGCTTAAAATCACAGAATGCTTCCCATATGTCCCTGCATCCAGCGCCAGTAAACCCAGTGCCACACGAAATATGAAGGAGACTTTCCACTCTTCATCTTTTAACAGGTTCATGCAAAGTCGAACTTTCACATTCCTAGACAGTTATTTTTTGTTCTGTACATTCACAAAACAAATCCAGAAACACAAATAACTCAGAGCTAAAAGGAAACAATAAATCTTTAAACATTTAGTATAGTTCCTTCTTGTCTTTTTCTTTTTTAAAAAAACGTTATTGTTTTATTGTTGCACTGAAAGCAGCCAGATAGAAACCATGACATCAGCAGGAATTTGTCAGCGAACCCGGATGAGTTTAGGACCAGGAGGAAGCCGGCGGCAGACAGACACGGGTTTTAAACCCGCAGCACCGTGGAGAAGTTCAGCCAGTCCCACCAGCTCCGTGCGTCCTGACGCATCCACAGGACAGCAGCCATGGGAGCATCTGAGAGCCGCTCCGAGCACCAGTACCACCAGCTGATGGAGAAAACAGGATGTAAGTTTACCAGCAGAAGCCCACCAGTAATGTTTGTACAGGGACATGTTCAGGTTGTACTTCTCTGCAGGATCACAGCTAAATTACAATGTTTCTAAATCTGTTCCTAACTTTTTATACAACCTAACTACTTTACACTTTTTCTACATAAGCATTCATATATCAACATATTTAGCTCATTCAGATGTGTCATAACTTTATTTTTTTAATTTATCTTTTAATTAAACATTTTCCCTGATGAAATCCACCGAGAGCTCCTAAAATCCTACAAAAATCCTGTTCACTGAAATCTGCTTTTAGCTGTAGCTTTTCCCAGCCTTCAGCTAATTTTATTTTTAGCTACTATTTGGCTACCTTTACTATTTTTGTCATTAAGTTATTATCACTTAGCTTTCCTTTTGATAATTTTAGCTTCCAGCTGCCATTCTGCTACTTTCAGCTTTTGCTACCATTTTTTTCCTACATGTAGCTTTTAGCCAGCACTTTACAGTAAATTTAATGTCTGCACTCCTTCATGTCTTCCTCCTGAGAAACCTCTCAAACACTTGACACAGCTGAAGACAAACTCCACCCTCGAACTAAAGGATTAAATTAGTTCCAAAGCAAACCTTGTTGCACCCTGTAGTTATAAATAAACCTCTGCATTGTGCAGGCAGAACGAATCGGCATCATTTAGCCAGACAGTGATTGTCTCTAATCCCTCAAATGTGCTGCTTTTATGCTTCAGAACAGAGGGAGAAGTGAGTGGATCTATTTTTAGAGAGGAAGTCATCTTGTTTGATCTAGTTTCACTGGAGTATTGTTGTTGCACCCCAGAGAGCAACTTTACTGATCCCATCAGAGACTTTGAACGGTTTTATTGTCGTACTCGCAAAGTTGAGCGTATTTCATCTTCCGTTTGGCAAAGTTTCTCGACACTGGGCGGAGCTTGACAGAAACCTTTTACCTGCACCGACAGGTTGTGCGAACCACAACCTTTGTCTCTGTAGCAGCTGGTATGTGTTGCTCAGGTTTGCTAATCAGGTTGTTGTTTTGCAACTGTTGATCCAGCCAGCCTGCCCCCTCCACCTGCTCCTGTTCTGTGTGGTCATAACTCACTGTGTGCAGACACAGCTGCCTCTGCAAACATCCACTTCAGCTGCCTTCCAGAGCAGAAAGGTGACAAATAAAGCTGGCGTGCACCGAAAGAACCAGAGTCCCCCGTACAAGACCAGACAGAACCTGACTCTAAATCAGTGTTTCCCAAAGTTGGGGTCGGGACCCAAAGTGGGGTCCCGAAACCTCAAGGTGGGGTCCTGAAAAGATTTTCTGAATTAATTACATTTTTGCCTTAGTTGTTATAAATGAGTGAGGTTAGTATATTTAAAATGGATAAATGTAGTATAAAAATATTGTTACTATGCCCATGTTTAGTTGACCTGATACAAATGTTTATCATCCAAAAATAGCTGGTGGCACAGGTCTCTGCTGCTGTTATTTTGTGGGTCAAAAGCTGAAAAGTTTGGGAACCACTGCACTTTGGTTCCCAAAGTTGGGCTTGGGACCCAATTATGGGTCATGAAGCACCTTAAATAATCACCAGAAATCAATTTAAAGGATAATAAAATAATTGCTGATGTAATATTTTCCCTATAATTATTACAAAAACACAATAAGTAAAAATAAGTATTTATATTTGTGTACAAACTGTTTAGATCGCCAAAAAAACTGTGTTTTTAGGGTTATTAATAATGAAGCTCATGGACCCAGACCAGTAATATTTGTGCTCACAAGTTTTTGCCATGGATATTTTGTGGGTCAGAAGACAAAAAGTTTGGGAACCACTGCTCTAAATCATTAAGGCCACACACACACACACACACACACAATGACTCACTGAGGCGTAGTGTGTTTGTGTAGCTGAGGCTGACAGCAGAGTTCCACCTGCTCACTTTAAACCCATAAATAAAACCTGCTGTGTAATATTAGTAATATGAAGTAAAAAAAAATGCAGATCAGGATCAACATAATGAGCGTTTATTTCTTCACAGTTTCACTGGAGCAGATTAAAAATCTTCACATCCGATTTCAGCATCTGAGTGGAAATGAAGAGACAATAAGGTAACGTTTGGTTCTATTATGAAGGGGCGAAGCTGGTGATTTAGTTTCCTAGAGTCATTGGTACTTCCTCTTAAAGTTAACTCCAACTGAACAACTTCCTGTGCATCAAAGATTTTTTTTTTGTTTGTTTTGTTCATGAACTTTGTTCTGCTGGATTCTGTTTCTTGTCATCATCCAGGAGAGAAAACTTGGACAGCATACCTGCTCTGGCTGAGAACCCTATCAAAAAGCAAATCATTGACGCATTTTTTGATAAAAGGTCGGTGCAAGTCATCTAAATGTTCCTCTCAAAAATACGTTTTCATCATGAAAATGCAAATTTGGTTGGATCTCCGAAATTTCGCAACCTACTTTTACGAATACACTGTGTTCATGTTAACATTTTCAGCTTTTTTCCTCACTAAATGTGAATGGTCATCCTGAAAATTCTTTAAAGTAGTTGTTAATCTTTACTGCACATCTTTTGTTCTGGTTTCTGCTTTTTAAAGTCTTTGTGCTAATTTACTACTTTTATTTATAAAGCAGTTTAAAACAACCACAGCTGCAACAAAGTGCTGTACAAATAAAATCAAAACATGAAAAACACAAAACAAATATAAAAAAAAGATAGGAATAAAACTAAAAACAAGTGTCAGGCGGTGCCAAAAGCCAGGGAGCAGAAATGTTTTGAAGTTTTAAAAGTGGACAGTGAACGCGCTTAATTTAAGCTTCCTTCAGCTTCTTTTACTTATTTACTGTTTTGCTAATTTCAGTCACCCCCCCCCCCCACACACACTTACTTTTCAGCTATTCTTCTGCTAATTTAAACTTTTATGCGCTTTTATCAGCTTATTTCAGATAATTTAGAAGTTTTATTCTTCTTTCAGCTGTTTTTTGCTAATTTCAGCTGTTTTCTGCAATTTTAGCTTTTTTGGCTAAATTATTATTTTTTTCTTTTTCTTGGTGGACGTTTGACCTTCTTCCTGTTTAATTTGGACAAACAGGTGCTTCCTCTTCTATATCAGTCTTTTCAGCCACTTTTCTGCTAATTTCAGCTTTTCTTTGGCTGTTTTACAACCAATCACTTTTTGTTTTTGTAAACATATTTTAGCTTTAAGCATTCACGCTGCATTTTTGCAGAAAATGATTGAGATCATTTTTCCTCAAATAGTGACCATATCCTATAATATTACAGCAGCTTCCAGATGTAAGGCCTTATTTCTAACTTCAGTTAGATGACTGTAATTACTCCTGTTTACCCATAAAGCCTTGTTTCAAGTCCTCAGCGTTCTGCTGTTATTACTGTAGAAGTGACTCATTCCTATTAGAAAACAAGTCAGTTTGAGTTTCTTTGCTAACCTCTTTTTAACTTGATCTGCTTGAAAAGCCTTGTTTGTCAGAGATTTCCATCTATTTCTAACCTCTGACATCACTGTGTTACACATTTCCAGTGTTTCCTGGTTTCTTTTGAGAGATCTCAAACAAACAGGAGCAGCTTTGCTGCATCATCAGGTTGGGACTTTGTGAGGGGGTGGGTGGGGGGCAGCTTGAAGAAATGGGAGTGAAAACTGAGCTTTAAAAGCAAAAAGCTGCTGCAGTGTAATGTACTGAATTTTGAAGGTAACAGATTTTGTACATTTATTTCAGTAATTAATCCTGAGGTCTCAATATTTCATTTTGTCATTTATTTTCACTAAAAAGCTCAGCCTTGCCGGTGGTCTAAAATTTGTGTCTTATTGCTTTTAATGACCTTTTTAAAAACGGTAATTGTTTTGCACCACGCCACTGTTGTAAACTAGTTCATTCTGTTCAGTTTAGTTTATTAATTTCTTTAAAAAACAACATAAATTCAACATACAACAAAAGTACAAATCATGAATTAAATAAAAGGTAGCAGAAGAAGAAAAAGATCTTATTTTATCTGCCCCTTTTCTGA